TCAATAATATTGATGAGCGTACGTTTTTTTTATGTTAAATTTTTAGGCCTATCCAATGCCTTCTTTATATTTATATATATTTTACATAATGTGGCCACAATAAAAATATAATCTTTAATATAAAATATCAGTGAAATATTATGTATGTGTTCTTTGCAAAACGTTTAGTCAGATTTTGCTATTTTACTATAACTTATTTACTATTACATTATTTATTAATATTTTGAATTTACTTAATTTTAATTTGAGTAATTTTGCTGTTTTTGTTTAATGTTTTTACATATTTTTTGTATTATTTCAGTTTTATTTAATTTATAAGCATATACAGTATATTTTATTATACCGTTTTTTAAGATTTTCTTTTTTTGAGCTTTATTTCAATTAACAAATGTATTTATTTATTTATTTTTATTTATTTATTTTATTTTTAATAGTTTTAGTTTGTTTTAGTTACCGTTAATGATCACAACACTGGTCATATAATTCACAATTATATTTTGAAAGGCTGTCAATGACATTAATGCTTTTTGCTGACAGATGTTGTAGTAAAAATGTCTACCAGCATAGGCTGACTAGTTCATGCTACTCTGCTGAAATAAAGCTGGCTAAATCCAGTCTTAGCTGGTTTAAGCTGGTCTCCCAGCTTGGCCAAGCTAGTTATCAGCTAGTTGGACTCCCAAATGTGTATTTTCAATTCAGTTATTTATCAGTATTAACGGCACGCAAACAGCATATTTGTTTCTTTCCTTATTGCTGGTTTAATGGACCAATTATAGCAATTTGTGAAGACTGGATAAAGATTAAAACGTAAAGTATACAAAGCAATAAGACAAAGAAACATCCAGAGATTTGAATGCACCCAATGCAGGTTTCAGCTTTCTGACCTTTTATTAACATTTTCGCACCAACAAAACAATTACAATCCACAATTGATGATCTTCATTCTGCCTTCCACCAGTGTTCACTGGCACCATACTACGGGCTGATCCAATAATAAAACAGAGCCATAGCTCCCGCTGAGAGTTTAACTGTGTGCTGGTCTCCAAATCTCTGATCCCTTTTTCGTCTGCCATTTACAGTCTGTGTCAGTGATGTTCTTTTTATCTCTTACTGTCTTCACTGTGTCGCCAGTCTACATCCTGTTAGAACACACTGTCATATAGTTCCCTAATTAGGGAGTAAAAACACACTCGAGATCTCATGCTGTTTGAATGCAGAAACAATAGCAGGTCTCAGAGGTCTCTGCTCTTCTGAGGTTCACAGTCTTCTTACAGCTTTATTTTGAAGCCATTCATGAGATGTATAGGACTATGAAGGCAAAATAAACCTTGATGATTGTCTCTGGTTGTCACAAAACACTTTAAAAGGGGTAGTTAGGCTAAAAATTAAAACCTGTCATTTACTTACCCTCAGTGTTGTTCCAAATCCATATGATTTTCTGTCTTCATGCAGAATATTGAAAGGAGGACTTTGAGATTTGAGAGCTAGGGTGGAAAATCTGAAAAATCATGAGTTGGGAGCGACATGAGGGTGAAGAAAGGATGACAGAAGTTTCATTTTTAGGCGAACTGTCCTTTTAAGACTGATTTAGCAAAACTGCACAATTATAGGGACTTGTGTGTTAGCATAAGAGAGTCTATACATTTGCAGCTGACTTTTCCTCAAGCCAGACAGTATTAAAGTTGCAGTGGAGAGCTGCTGTAATCCTATAGGAATGATTATAAAGAGACAGATCAGCGCTTCCCTCACACGTCTCAATAATGGAAGCACTTCCTGACAGATAAAACACAACTCCAGATGTTGTTTTCAGCACAGCTATATCACACGAGCAGGAAAACAAAAGAATTTCCTTCACACCTCAGTGAAATTTTACAAATATCAAATATCAGAGAGATGCCAACATGTGCAGTAGTGGTGGAAATGTTCAATAGCTTTTTTGTAGTCACTGACTTAAAAAGTGTGAAAAATAAATAAATATATATATATATGATCAAAGAAGGCTGTGAAAATAAATCTGCATTGTTAA